AACCAAACCTAACCTATAAAGATAGGTTAGGTTAGGTTAGGTAGGGTTGGTTAGGTTCGGTCATATATCTACGTTAATTTTAACTCCAATAAAAAAAAATTGACCTCATACATAATGAAATGGGTTGATTTATCATTTCATAAGAAAAAAATTAGAGAAAATATATTAATTCAGGAAAACTTGGCTTATTAGGCAAATCGGGCCTTGAATAGTAGGCCAAAAAGTGAGTTCTGGCTACTAGGTACGACATATATATATATATATATATATATATATATATATATATATATATATATATATATATATATATATATTATAATGTGTGTGTGTGTCATACCTAGTAGCCAGAACGCACTTCTCGGCCTACTATGCAAGGCCCGATTTGTCTAATAGGCCGAGTAATTATCTTTATTTTCAATAAATTATTTCCAATTAGTTTATTTGAATTATTATCACTATATTATATTAGGAACATAAATTATTGACTTAGTTGTGTTAGTTAATTAAGGTTAGGTTAGGTTAGGTAGGGTTGGTTAGGTTCGGTCATATATCTACGTTAGTTTTAACTCAATTATAGACAAATTAACTCATACATAATGAAATGGATAGCTTTATCATTTCATAAGAAAAAAAAAAAAGAAAAAAATATATAAAATCAGGAAAACTTGGCTTATTAGGCATATTGGGCCTTGCACAGTAGGCCGAGTACTGCGTCCTGGCTACTAGGTACAACATACATACATACATACATACATATATATATATATATATATATATATATATATATATATATATATATATATATATATATATATATATATATATATATATATATATATATATATATATATATATTGTGATTATCTTAAGTTGTGTTTTTTCTTTTAATCTAGTTTTTAGTCTTGTATAGCAATATAATATGTATGTAATGTACTGTATATGTGGGTTTTCAAATTGATTAAAGTTCATAATAATGCAAAATTTGACTGACTACTGTGCACGGTTAAACTGATGTGGGCAATCATTCCAAACTTACCGCGGGTGATCCTTTCACACATGACCATTCTCAACGGCAAGCTTTCTGACAGCCAGTCTGCCCTGCATAATACTTTATATATTTTTAGATCCAGTTGTTTTTCTCAGTAAATCATTTATTAGATGCTTGAATTTGATGCAGTTGTTTTATGCAGATGTTTAAATTGAATGCTTTTCAATGATTTGTCACTGAAAGGAGGGAAGTTGTATTTTGTCTGTGTTGTATATATTGTACATACATATATGTCTGCCTCAAATGGCTGGTTTGACTGTGTTGAGAGTAGTAGCCACTGTACTCATAACCAATTTTTGCCTTCACAGTGTAATGTACTTGTGATTATTAAACTTTTGTGGGGTTATATTATTTTTATTTATGGCTTCAATAATGCATATGGTTTGACACAGGCTTATTCTGGCAGTGTACATAATAGTGGACATATATTTTCAAGGCTTATCTTGATATTTGGAAGTTTTCTCTGGGTTAAAGAATGGGATCAATCCTTATCTTAGGATTCCTGACTAAAATACACAAGATATCATTCCTTAAACAGTGAGCTATTCACACTTCTTTTAGTCACAGTCACAGATAACTGAACTGACATGTTACAGCAAAGCACAATCTAATTACAATACTGTAAAATTTTATATTTTCTATCCTCCCATTTTGTAGTGACAACCCCAAGTTGAGAAGTATTAGCCATTCTAAAGTCTTTGTATCAAGGAATAGCTATTTTTTGTACACCATAATCAATAATACCTCCCTAGTCCTCTATGGGAGCATGGTCAGACTTGAATGCCATGAATTGGCAGAACTGAACCTAATCTTCAACTTCCCTGTGTAAAGAAAATGTTGATTAAAGTACAGTACCTTACAGTATTGTCATAATGTTAATAAAATCTTAAAGTTTATTAATAGATGATAAATAAACTTAATTCTTTTTATTGTGGTGTATATGTGAGTCACAGTGGGTCTCACCACTGAGCTGTGTATGTGAGTCACAGTGGGTCTCACCACTGAGCTGTATATGTGAGTCACAGTGGGTCTCACCACTGAGCTGTGTATGTGAGTCACAGTGGGTCTCACCACTGAGCTATGTATGTGATGCACACTGGGTCTCACCAACGAAAGGGAAATGGAGTAATGTTGACTGATTCATTGATTTACACAAATCAACTATTTTGAAAGATTGTTTGATTAAAGCAATTTAATGAAATATTAATATTAAATTGTAGTTTTAGATGTTGAGTATAGTGCAGTACTGTAAAATATTATTATCATAATAGTATCTGGACTTGGCTACCATTGTCTTTTGTACGGTCACAGTTGGTCGAGCGGTTAAGGTACCATGTACACCAGTTGCATAATGCTCCTGGTTGTCTGGGTTTGAGTCACTTCTAGGGTGTGGAGTTTTCAGTTGCATATATGCTTGGGGACCATTCAACCTTGTCTGCATTTGTGTTGCTCACATAACCCCAAAAAGTGAGGTGATTCGATGAAATAACTATGCCCAAGATTAGCACCAAGTGCCGTCGGGACTGTGGGGGAAATAGCTTCGGCTACCATCGTCTTTTGTACGGTCACGGTTGGTCAAGTGGTTAAGGTACCATGCACACCAGTTGCATAGTGTTCCTGGCTGTCTGGGTTTGAATCACTTCTGGGGTGTGGAGTTTTCAGTCACATATATGCTTGGGGACCATTCAAGCTTATTTGCATTTGTGTTGCTCACATGGAATGATCTGATGTTCCCATCACTGAAAAATAAGAACAGTTAAAAAAATAAATAAAAAATAAACTACTCACGAAATGAACAGTATGGTAAACAACACAGCTCAATTCCAACGTAGTGTCGCACAAAATAATTAAATAAAAATTTAAATAAATTGAAATCTATGAAAATTCAATTTATCAATGCAATTGGAAACATTGAAATGTAATCATAACATATTTAGAATAGCGTGTGTTGCTTTTACGTGCAACAGATGGCGCTGTTTTTCAAAAAGGCATGTTTTTACCTGTCATAGACGTGACATTATATATTATGTTATTTATTTATTTATTTATGCATATACAAGAATGTACATAAGGAATGAGAGGATACAAATATGGTAATTACAGTCTTGTAAAGCCACTAGCACGCGCAGCGTTTCGGGCAGGTCCTTAATCTAAGAAAATTTTAAGGAGGTAAATACTTGCAAAATTTATAGACAAAAAAATGATAACAGATTACATGAAATGAAAAAAAAAAAAAGAAGATGAGAGAAAATTGTAGGTACAGTATATTAAAGCACATAGGTAGCTAAGATTGATTGCAATGACAGCTTAAAATGGTAGTTGACAACAAATTGGTAGGCACAATACAGCAGAAACAATATAAGATTGATTGCAGTGACAGCTTGAATGGTAGTTGACAAAAATTGGTAGTCACAATACAGCATATGGCTAGCACATAAAAGAAGACAGCAATGAACACAATGATAAGGTTGTTTGATATTACATAAAAATTAGGAGATTGGGTAACACTAGGTACAGAGCAAATTTAAAGCTCAGTGTAGGAAACTAAGAAGATGAAGTTAGGTACTTTTTGGTTTTGCTTTATTTATGTATTTAAAAACACGCTCGTATTCGAATGGAACGTTGTGTCAAAATTTCAAAACAATTGGTAAAGAACTTTCGGAGATTAGCGATTTTGAACAAACGAACATTTACATTTTTATTTATGTAGATATATATGTATAATATCACATTACAACTATATAGCACATGAATAACTTGTGGTTTCATCAGCTATATTTCTTATTTTTAATATGGTTCTCGTATATAGTATAGTACTGTAATTTTTTGAGAATGCCTCTTTGCATTGACTTGATACATACAATATTTATGTATGATGGTAAAAAGAAAGTTTTTGTTGAATTTAGGTAGTGTACTTGGTCTCCCATCCCCCTGATAGCCATATTTATAATTAATACAACATTTTGTTGGATGGTTTGGGGCTATCTAAAATTGAAGTAAAAAGGAATAAGTGTAACCACCAGACTTTCTACACATATACTCTGGTGCCAAGAGATGGTTTGGGTGCAGTAATATCAGTTTGGAGGAAATTGAGTGAACATACAAGTATATTAAATATCTTGGGAATGCTTAAAGTTGTCATCTTGTCTACATGTGTTTGCTGGGTGAGCTACAGTTCTCAGGCCCATATCTGAGTCATCTATTTCAGTAGCTACTGCCCCTCTTGCCTGGTATCATGCCTATCTTGAAATTATGGATGGACTTAGCCTTAATTACTGTTTCTCCCCTTTCAGCTCACTTCACTGGGTCACTACTCTTGCTCTCTTCTCTTAGGTGTTCCTGGTAGCAATATGTACAGTACATTATAGTTTTGTCAAATTTTATTTATACTTTTTTTTTTAATTTGCAGTGTCCATGAAATATCTGGACAATACTTTTGTATATCACTTTGAAATTAATGACTTGCATGTAGTAGGGAAAGAAAGAACAATATTTTTATTGATCCATGCATCTCCCTGGTGTCTAATGTTTATGCATCCCTCTAATGCCATAGGATACTTCCATTTGTCTCGGTTTCACTAGAACCAATTACGTGTTTGCTTATACTGTACTGTATAAGGTATATTCCAAGAACAGATAAAGATACTGTATGATATTCAACCCACACATCTGAAAAGGAAGAAAAAACTAAGTTTCAGTCTGTCCTGGACCATTATCACAACTTGATAATGGTCTAGGATGGACCGAAACGTTATCGTTTATTAAATTTCAGAAGTGTGGGTTGGGTATCAAATCTTAAGCCATGCTATTGTGACTCATTGTCTGCAACGATTCTGTATTCTTTTCAAATTTGAAATGTGTATATCTCAAAATTATATCCTAGTGTATTTACGTAATGTGTTTACATCGTCATCCAAATACTGTAGTTTTAAAGTTACAATTTCTTCAGTTTCCAGTATACTTTACCGTACTGTTTTTACAATGTGATAAATTTATGGCAGCTTTTGACTACTACTGGGTTTCTAAATTTTTTATTAATTTTTAATTGTAAAAAGATTCATTTTTTTTTATTGTTGTCAGCGTAAAACAGCTGACAGCTGTCGACTTTATGGCCAAAATATAACATTTTAAAATGAGGTCTTTACAAATCCTATATTTTTTTCTGATCACCAGTATGGTTTTATGTAAGGTCCATTCTAGTGGCAATGTCTCAAATCTTACTCATTCAGTATATGGTCCACCTCACTTTGTGATTACAATGAATCATTTGCAATAGCCCTGATATTTCTGAAGCTTTTAACACAATATTGCAAAACTTTACTCTCCAAATATACAATTTTTGGCTATCAGCATGTATTTTTAGTATACTATCTAATAACCCTGACAGTGCTGCTGTTGAAGATGGCTTAACTCTACCTCTTTCTTTATTAACTGAAGTGTTCCATGAGAGACTGTTCTCTCACCCACTCTTATTATTCATCAATGATTTTTGTGGCATAGCTAATAATATCCATTCTTATGGTGATGACTCTCTTTGGTACTCCTCAAGTACAGTACTTATCTGGTATCCCTCACTGAATCTTATTCTTTAGGACATTTTAATTATTAAAAATATTAACAAAAAATATTCAAGCAATACACTAAAATTATAGGAAAATTAGAACCAAGATATGTTCTATAGTTTGTGCTAATATCTTTGTGATTTTAATTTAACTGAAAAATATCAAATAAATAAAAAGTCCAGATTGAGAGTCCAGATACTTCGTGTGTCAAAGGGGGTTCAGTATCAGTTACTTCAGAGAATTGAAACATCACTGTACTAGTACTGTACAGTATTACTCCTTTTTGTAATCTGATTTCAACTCTGTTCATTTTCATTCTGGTTAGAATGATTAATTTAAATACTGTACTGAAGCCTAACACCAGAGATTGAATTTTATGATCTTATTCTGTATTGACACTGTTCTCTGTAAATATGTTTAATGTTTTGTTCTTAGAATTTTCTCTTATATGGTGATTTTTGTATTTTGTAAAGTTTTTGGTGGCTGGCCCACTTTTTCCTTTTTTATCAATTATTAATTTTAATGGTGGTATTGATACTATGCAGCCTGCAAGTTTGGTACATGAGCAAGTGATCTTGCACTCATGATTGTTCAATCTGTTTGAGAAGTTTCTATCCCAAGGCTCATCAGGTTTTTTAGATGATACTTTGTTTCCAAGTCTCATCGTTGAATAGAATGTAAACTAATTTTTATAGCATATAACTACTTTAGTTTGTCACACATTGCTGGTTATCTGTGTCTTTTGTCTTAATGAACATGTGAGTTGTCTTTTGATTAATGCCTTGTCAGCCACACTGCATATTCTTTTGTAAGATACTCTTGTCTTCTGTACTTATTTATATATGTAAAGTACATCAACATTACTCCATTCTTTAGCAAATAGAGTAAAACAGGTGCACCAAGAGGTAAATGGAGTGAAACAGGTGCACCAAGAGGTAAATGGAGTGAAACAGGTGCACCAAGAGGTAAATGGAGTGAAACAGGTGCACCAAGAGGTAAATGGAGTGAAACAGGTGCACCAAGAGGTAAATGGAGTGAAACAGGTGCACCAAGAGGTAAATGGAGTGAAACAGGTGCACCAAGAGGTAAATGGAGTGAAACAGGTGCACCAAGAGGTAAATGGAGTGAAACAGGTGCACCAAGAGGTAAATGGAGAGAAACAGGTGCACCAAAAGATAAATGGAATGAAACAGGTGCACCAAGAGGTAAATAGGGTGACGCATATGCACCATAAAGTAAATAAGTGAGCCAGGCTCTGTGACATGAAACATGGGCCATGCCCTTCAATAGGGTGAAACAGGTGCACTAAGCCCAGCAATAGGGTTAAACAGATGTACAAAACCCAATAACAAAGAACAATACAGTATATTAATTTTTCCTCTCTGAATGTATGTTTTATTTTTGGTGCAACTCCAAATCATAAAAAATGCTTGATTTATTAAATTTTGTAGAATAGACACTAGTTTTTTGTTGTGAAATTTTTTAATTTATTTAACTGCTTAAACCATGGCTACAGTTAACAGCAGTTTATTGTACATACCTGTTTATACTCATATTTATTATGAATGTGTGGATAAGTTTTGTCTGTGAATATCAATTGAGTATTACAAAATATTTATTGACTTCATTTTATGCACCCTAAATACAACCAGCTGACTGCTATGCATATGGAGTTGTAACAAAAGAGAACTTGATGTGTTTCAAAAACTATGAAATGAAGTATTTTTATCATGTTGGGAAACGTCTGTAATTTTAGTTCATGAGGGTGAGCCTCACATTTTGATAGGTGATACAAGTTGAAAGGGGGTGATTTATGACAAATAGTCTTTAAAATAATTATGTATTCTTATTAAGTTGTATGATGAATTTGTAAATAAAATGAACTAAAAAGTGTTTCCTTCTCTAACACCATATTGATATCATATTACATGTGCATATTGAGTAGCTCCCGGTTGCTAGAGAACCAGAGCTGACAAGTCATAGGGAAGCACACCAGAACTCTGAGGCCCACTTGAACTTATCTGGAAACCAGAATCTAGCTCTTTCACCAAAGCGAGGGTTTTGTGACCCGAAAAGGTATGAATATACAGTACTGTACCAGTATTGAGTTAGGTCTCTCCTTAAGTATGAAAGTATACTGTATTATGAGTTTTATGAATGGGCTGGTTATAAGGGGGCCAGATGAGATAATACAGTGGAACCTCGGATTACGAGCCCGATTTGTTCGGAAAATTTGCATCAGAATACGAGCATTGCATCGGGTTTTCGAGTTTGTTGATACGCGTACATGTTAGCTACATGTGATACATGTTAGAGCTTGGTGACACAGCGATCGCACCTCAGTTTACCAGTGCCTTGCGCCCAGTGACTATCCCACCTGAATTCTTCACAAGGATTTACAGTTTTTTGTAGGATTTTTGGCCATTTGAGCATAAAAGTTGTTATTATATATCTCGCCATGGGTTTCAAGAAAGCCAATAGTAAGGTTCAAGGCAAGAAATCGCATGTGAGGATGACAATAGAGGAAAAACAAGAGATCATTCGGAAGCATGAAAATGGTACTCGTGTTGTTAAACTAGCTAGGCAGTACAACAAATCCATGTCAATGATATGCACTATACTTGCCAAGAAAAAGGACATTGAGTGCTAAAGTGGTAAAAGGTACATCAACAATCACGAAACAGACTACAAATACTTGACAATGTGGAAAAGTTGTTTTTAATTTGGATACACAACAAGGAGTTAGTGGGGGATAGTGTTTCAGAGGCCATCATTTGTGAGAAAGCCAGGGTATTGCACGAAGACTTTGTAAAGGAAACCCCTGGAACGAGTGCAGATATGATAGACTTTAAGGCAAGCAGGGGATGGTTTGACAAATTTAAAAAAGGAGTGGTATTCATAGTGTTGTGAGGCATAGGGTGGCTGCCAGCTCAGACAAACCAGCGACTGAAAGATTTATTGAAGAAATTAAAGAGTTTGTAGAGGCTGAGGGATACTTATCGCAACAAGTATTTAATTGTGATGTGACAGAACTCTTCTGGAAAAGATTGCCTAAGAGGACATACATTACCAAGGAGGAAAAATCATTACCTGGACACAAGCCTATGAAAGTTAGGTTTACGCTTGTGCTGTGTGGGAATGCGAGTGGCAATTTGAAAATTAAACCCTTGCTTGTGTATCATTCTGATAATCCAAGGGTTTCAAAAAGTATGGTGTGCAGAAAAACCAAATGTGTGTGATGTGGAGGGCTAATAATAAGGCATGGGTGACTAGGATTTTTTTTACGGAGTGGGTGAATGATGTGGTGTGCCCTGCCATAGAAAAATATCTGCAGGAGAAAAATTTGCCACTCAAGGCCCTGCTTCTCGACAATGCTCCTGCTCATCCTCCAGGCTTGGAAGATGAATTGTTGAACATATACAGTAATTTTCTCAGTAAAGTTCCTTCCTCCTAACACCACTCCTCTAATTCAGCCTATGGACCAGAAAATCATAGTGAATTTTAATAAGAAACTTTACGAAAGGGCACTTTTCTGGAAATGTTTTGAAGTGACTGAAGCCACAAACTTCAACCTCAAAGAGTTCTGGAAACACCATTTTAACATTTGTAGTGCTTTAAAACTCGTTGACAAAGCCTGGCAAGAAGTGACTCAAAGAACCCTGATTTCTGGCTGGAGAAAATTGTGGCCTGAATGTGTGACAGAACTAGACTTTGAGGGATTTGAGCCTGTAAATGAAGTGCCTATTGTTGAGAAAATTGTTACTCTCGGCCAGAAGATGGGCTTGGAATTCGATGGTGTTGATGTGGAGGAGTTGGTGCAAGAATACAACGAAGAACTGACCACCGAAGAACTCCAAGCCCTTCAAAAGGAGCAGCAAGAAGAGGCAGCTGGGGATATTTCTCCAGTGGAGAAGGATGAGGCAGAAGAGGATGTCCCTTCTGCAACCATTAGGATTTGGTGTCAGATGTGGGAAGAAATGCAAACTTTTATTGAAACGACTCGCCCAGAGAAAGCTGTAGTAGGCTGTTGTATTAATCTTTTCAATGGCAATGTGATGCCTCACTACAGACAAATGTTGCGAAGAAGGGAAAAACAATCTTCAATGGATCGTTTCGTTGTGAGAAAATCAAGCAGTGAGCCACAACCAGGACCTAGTGGTATGCAGGCAAAACGTGCCAGAGAGCGCACTCCAGAAAATCCTTCACTGCCTGATGTTATAATGGAAGGGGACTTCCCTTCCAAACAGGAACACCTCTCCTCCTCCCCCCTCCTCACCATCTTCCATACGCCAACAGGAGTCATCAGCAAGGGTAAGTAATAACTTGAACATACTTTTGTAGTGTAGATTTGGATGAATTAGGTATAAAATTTTGTTTGAAGTGATGTTTTTGCGTAGTCAGGAATGTATTAATTCATTTCCCATTATTTCTTATACGGAAATTAGCTTCGGTTTACGAGTTTTCTGGTTACGAGCTGTCTCCAGGAACGGATTAAATTTTTAAACCGAGGTACCACTGTACTAGGATACCAGTATTTGTTGAATCCTCTAAAGTTTATGTTAAACTTTCAATCATTTTAGGGCAGATTGTTTTTCTCTCCATCCTTGCTGCAGCAACTGCAGAGATGCACACCCTGTTTTTTTTTAATCTTGTATGCACTATAAATTTGAGCAAACAAGCCTCAACCTAAGATACCAAATTCGTTTATCTTTACCTGAGGCAAGATGCATGGTCTGGCATCTTTCCTTCTTTTCTGGCATGACTTATGCTCATGCATTGAGTTGCACTCCTCTACCCCACCCTTCTTCTCTTCCTCAAGTACACAACCATTTCCAAGACTTAAACCCTGACATCTCCACCTGCTTTCCTTCTTCTGCTGCAGGCGATGAGTCACAATAACATGGCTAAAGTATGTTGACCAGACCACACACTAGAAGGTGAAGGGACGACGACGTTTCGGTCCATCCTGGACCATTCACAATCGACTTGAGAATGGTCCAGGAAGGACTGAAACGTCGTCGTCCCTTCACCTTCTAGTGTGTGGTCTGGTCAACAATCTTCTCCTGCTGTTCTGCAATCTGAAGTCGAGGGACCCACCCTTCCTTCCCAGTCTTCTCCTATCCACCGTACTTGTAACTTCTCCACCTCCTTATTCTTCTATATCTGCTGTGAACGCCTCCATCTCTTGGCTCTATCTTCCTCTTCAGCCCTCCCTTCTGTCATTTGTCCCTACCTGGCTTCAGATTGACCAGGCAAATGTCCACCCTCCTCCCAACTGTCCTCATTTCGCCCCCTCTAATTTTCACTCCCCATCTGAGACAACTAAGTCTATTGTGCAGAATCTTAAGACTGCCACATCTCTGTCTCTCAGTAAAAAATGTAAACCTGGTTCCTCTACCTCTTCTTCATCAGAGGGTAAGAAGGCCTCAGTCCTTCCCTTAGCTACATCCTCCTTCCTCATTTTGTCTCTCCTTCCATCTTAGTAGAGGAGTTGGCTGACTTTGAATTCCAGGTTCCATTGCTTCTACCATGTGGTAGAATAATTGAATAGTAATAGTTGAAAGTTTGTGCTAGGTTTGAATCCTACTCATGGCTCCTATTGATTTTCTCGTTGATACATCATGTTAATGTAATTTTTGCATGTATGGGAATATCTCTTTAATTTGTTCTCTTCCATTGCTTTGTGTAGGTGTTCAGATGTTGTCTAATCTTTCTTGTGTGAACAGTGATGTAAAGTACAGTATTCAGTGTTTACTACCCTTTAATCGTTAATTATAACTTGATTGGTCTCGTCTTTAGGGGTCCCACCCACCCACCATCTTGGTTTTACTTTTTATACAGGCATAAAAAGACAAGATTTTTCTTTGTTTGAGCATTTTCTTTTGTAGTTTCTATTGAATAATCTGATTTCCTGGGTAGTTGAATTTCATGCCCTTCTTTATATCTTGTAATCTATATCGTTCTTTGGAGATTGATACGTTTTTCCAAAGATTTTGCTTAGTCAAGAACCTTTTTTTTTACTGCCTATGTCATCCACCTAGTTCTCTTTCTTTTCTTACTCCTCCTTGGCATTTATTTTTGAACAAGTTCTATGATGACCTTCCATGAACTTGTGGACACTGCCGCTAAGGACACCATTCATACTTGCAACATTTCCCAGAATGGAATTTGTTATTCAGATTTTCACCCAATCATTCATTCTGCAATCTGAGACTGTTGGCAGGGTTGTTAGGCTGGCATTATTAGTAACAAAATAGTCTCTTAAAAGTGACTTGTCCCGATGATCTTCTTCCTATTACCATAATAGACATTAAAAAATTGCTCTGGTTAGATTGCATATTGGTCACTCTTCCTTAACTTATGGGCACCTAATGGCACAATTCTCTGCTCCCTTTTGTCCGAGCTGCACTGTCCCACTTAGTAGTGCACGTCCTAATAGAATGTCCAAAGTTTTAGGAAGATTGTTCATTTTTGCTTTATGTCCTTATGGGTCATTTGTCCCTTGATGAATCTGTTGCCTTTGATGTTCACTTTAGGCCCTTTTGTTCTCATATTTGTGTCTCGAGTGATATTTAGCACCTTTTGAATATCTGATAACACAGACGAGTTGATATCACACCAAACCTGTCACCAGAAGCCCACATCAAAAGGATATCATTAATAGTATATGCTGCTAGGTTAGCCAATATAAGAACTGCCTTTAGAAACGTGTGCAAGGAATCAATTAAAACCTTGTGTACTACATATCAGACTTAATTTTGTAGGCCATACCTTGTCAAACAAAAAACAAATAGAAAATTTAGAAGTACGCCAAAAGACTAAGTCCCGGAGCCAAGAGGTACGAGTTACAAGGAAAGGCTACTGGAATTAGACCTCACATCACTGGAAGA